TGGTTTCTCTGCTCTGGGGAGGGGGAGAGAGAACTGCAGCATGGAGACCCAACATCCTGTGTTTTGCTGTTTTAACTACAAGGGAAAGAGACATCGAAATCACACACCGGCCCCGAAGAGACTTGTTTTTCTGTGTGCAAACGTGAGAGAGAGGAGGGTGTGTTTTTGCGTGAATGCAGTGATGCATGTATTTGTGTGTATGTGTGCATTTATGTTTGTGTGAGTGTGTGTATGTGGGGTCAAAAGGAGTGAAGCTCTCCAGACACCAAAAGTCTTGGCGGGGTCTCATTCTTTCTTTCACTCTCTCCCTTCTTTTTTCTGTGGTCTTGTGTTGTTTGGTGGTTTTTGTGATGAAAAAAAATGTATATCTGTCTGTTACATATCATGTATGTATCTGAGGTGCAAAATATTTAAATACACATTCTGTTCTTGCCATTGGTAATCTTGTCGATTGCAGACTGCTTCTTTAAGGGATTATGGGAGGTGTGAACGTGGCTGTGTGTGTTTGGGCTTTGCCCAGGCTGTCTGGGTCTGCGCGAGAGAGAGGGTTCAGGCAAGGACACGATTCGACAGGGGGGAAAGGGAGGGGAGGAGAGGAATAGATGGTGGGGAGAGGAGGATGTGTTTTAGGGGAAAGAAAGAAACCAGACTAAGGAAATCAGGAAAGAGTGTCAGAGATGTTGCCACTGAAACAAAATGTACAAAAATGTACTGTTTCAACATTCCTCATCCAAATAAGGGAATAGCGTAACGGCGTAAAGGCTGGTGGTACCAGAGAGCTGACAGGAAGGGAACCCACGCTCATTTCATGTCCTCACAGGAATACTTGCTATAATAGAACAAACATTATACATCTGCAGCTTGTGTGTGCGTGTGTGTGTGTGCCAGACAGACAGAGAGAGTGTGAGAGAAAGGAAACAGATGGGGGGGAGTTTATAGGCTGCATTTTGTGTACAGTTTGTCAACAGGCTGACTAAATAGACTAAGACATGGCTGCAGGAAATGTGTTTGCTGTGACATTCCTCTGTATGGTGGAAGGAAACACATACTGTCAACAACGCTACATGACAGGCAGAGAGGGAGTGCATGCAGCTCTTTCAGACTTTTCTTTTGCACTATACCAAAATAACAGCATCTCATTTAAATAGAAATATGAAATGATGTGCCACATTTCCAAAATTTAGCCATCTAAAACCCACATTTTCCTCATTTTATAGGATGCCATTACCTGTAAGGATTCTCAATCTTCAGCAGTATTCTAAGTAACAATAACATTTGTATTATTATCAAAGAAATGTACTAAAAACACTTTAAAGATTTGTTATACAGCAGAATTCTCCCTGTCAGTTTTATTCTTATTATTTATTGCTGATCAATAACATTTAGGTATCGTTCTAATGTCGCTGGTCAAGAGGGAGCAAATGTTAAAAACGTTATGTTCTGTTGTTATAAAACCATGTTTCCTATTTTATAAACGTATTATTGGTTTGGAAGCCTGTGTTAAATGTGAATATCCTAAGTTACGTCTCAAAACTGTAGCAACTTTAAGAACAGTAGTCTAATAAAGTAAAAGTAGCCTACATAGTTTAGATAATTGTGTATTAGCCACAGAGTGTTAGTTTATTTAACAAAAGTATAATAATAAGTAGCCTAAACATGCAAAATAGACAAAAAATAAGTACTGAACTGAAAGCTATTTCTTTCATAAATAACATGAGTTATTCAAATACTATTGATAATAATAGAATCAAATTAAATATGAGATATTACGGTCACCGCTTATTCTTGTGGAAAGCTATGCGTCGCTTAGCAACAACTTTAGCAACCGTTCTTAAATATTTATGCGGAAAACTATCAATCAATCACCATGACAACTAGCCTACTGTCTCCGAACTTTAGTCTCTTTAATTTAACCCATAAAATACACTTATACCATATTGCTTTAGCAACATTTAACGTTGTTGACCTGTTTTCCCATATGAACGAGTAAAGTTTATTTTAAACTGTAGGCCCTATGAGTTATTTATGGCCTAAAATAAAGCAGTCACTGTCAATAAGGCCACCGTTGACCGAGGAATGCGCTTCGTCATCACAACTTTCCCCTGGGGGTAAAAGAAGAAGAAAAGGGAGGTCTGGCAGGAAAGAAAGAGGAGTGGTGCTCTCCTCAGCAGGGACTTTCCTTTGCTCGCTCTCCGGTAAAAAAAAGAGTTGAGTCACAGGGCACCGAGCCGGAGATGTTCCCTGGTGTCGCCACGGAGGAGGAATGCGGGCCTGTGCGCGGTGGTGCTGGGGCTGCGGTGGTCTCCCCCTCCGCTCAGGAATACTTCTTATATTAATCCCTCCTTTTATCCTCGCACTCCAACTCATGGTAGTCGGGCCACTGTTGCCTGCAGCCCCGGGGGAGGGGGTGGTGGAGCCGCAGGAGTTCGCCTTCTCCGTTATCAGCATCGAACCGGAGAGGAACACACGTCCACGGGGATCCCCGCCCCTGCGTCCGGGCCTACAGGAGGAGGATGCGGAGAGAAAGGAGGGGGAACAGGCGTATGAGGATGAAAACGAGATGCATTCACGCAAGGTATGTGGACAGATACATCTGAAGTATAATCAGTTTTTTTGAAGTTTACACTTCAGTTAACTTACTAGCCTATGTTCATTTACTCAAGTAGCCTACTGTACTTAAATACAATGCTCAGGTAGCCTACTTTACTTCAGTATTTTCAATTGTTGACTACTTTGTACTTCTATATACCCCACTTGATTTGAGGACTTTTATAGTAGCCTATTAGCCTGGTACTTCTACTTTTACTGAAGTACAAGAACTGAGTACTTTAATGTTTCAGAATGTTTACATTATGGAAAAACAGATAGACTGAAGACATTTCTACCCACAATCTATTTATCTTTACAATATAAGGTGAAGATTTACTCAAACAACTGCCATGTTGCTTATACGCTAATTAAACGTAATTGCACTAAATGCACTGAATGCACTGAATGTGAACTGAAAGTAAGCAGGGGACAATAAAAAAGAATACCCTGAAGCTCTTTGTGCAGCTTTTTGCAGCTCTGTGAAACAGGTGAGGACAGCACTGACCCCAGATCAGAGGTGATAGCTGTTCTTTCTTTCTGTTTTTTCTCCTTTAGTTGCATAAAGCTCCAACTTTCGTGTGTGTGTGTGCGCACGCATCTGTCCTGACACTCTTTCCCTTCACTCGTCATCCCCTCTCTCTTTCATTCTCTTTTCTCTCACTGTCTGTTTTTCTGCCCAAGGCTAAACTCTCTGACTCATTCTAGTGAATCATCACCCCCCCACTACCCACCGAGGTTGCCATGGTGACCACAAGGTTCAGCCTGAGTTGGGTGGGGGGCTCTTTGTGAGTGTGTTTGTATGTTACACTGCCTCAGGAAAATATGTAACCACAGCAGGTCTGAGGTCAGAGGCTTTGACCTGCCTGCCTCCTCTGCACTCATACCTGGGGCAGAGGGTGTTGGCAGCAGCAGCAGCAGAGACCCACTCACACACATTACTGTCATTCCTATTCATTATTCAGAACGCTTTACAAATTCCCATGCATCTGTTGGTAATATCAATATATTGATTAGGGTTGCAAAGGGGCGGAAAGTTTCCGGTAAATTTCCGTAAAATTTTCATGGGAAGTTAAGCTGGGGAATTTTGGAAATATTCGATGCAAAATTAAACAAAAAAACATGACATTTCAACAGATTTAAAAAAAAAATATTTTTTTAAGAAGAACAGAACAAGTTTTAATTATTTTATTGAACAATTATTTGTTTCATTGAAGAACGAAAACAGGAATGTTGAGTTAAATATTACTCATCCCCCCGAACTCCACTCATTAAAAAATGAACAAAAATGCACCCCCCATCCAAAAATCCCCAGAAAGTCCCATTAAACATGCAAATCTTCCTTCAAGCGATCCTCTGCATTTTTGCTAAAACCTTTCAGTCAATGGGCTCTTCCTGGGCCTCATCAACATCCAACTCTGAGTCTTCCTCTTCAGTGTCACTGTCCAGCCTTGTTGAGGATGGCTCTGTGTCAGGCTCAAAGAGCCTTAGGTTTGCCCGAATGCCAACCAGTTTTTCCACTCTCACATTTGTGAGCCTGTTGCGAACCTTTGTGTGGTCTCAATAGCCATGCAGTAAGCAGTGTGCTATGGCCTGGATATTCAAGTGTACTTGAATGGCCTCTGTTTTTTTTAGTCAAGATTATGCTAAAATATACTTTCTCCAACTATACTTAAGTTCCCTATGAAAAGCCAACCTTCAATTTTGAAAATTCCCAGTTTATTCCCATAAATTCCCGTTAATTCCCGTGGAAAGTTTCCATCTTTGAAAATTCCCGGAATTTTGCAACCCTAATCACAGGTCTCAGATGTATACAAACATGTCTCTGAAGTGTTTGGCTCCAAACACCAAACAGATCATTGCAGCATTA